ACTTCCTTTAAGCTTAATCCAATAAGCTAATGATACTTTCTCTCTCTGTAACTCTAAAGGTGTCTCTCCTGCTTCAATTAAGAGAGCATTAATGGGAGTTGTCGTCATGGCTCCTGTGCATATACGTAAAGCTCTGCACTGTAATCTGTCCATTTTTTGCAATGTTGTCTGAGCTGCTGCCCCATATATTATACATCTATAGTCTAGTGTCGACCTCATAAGTGCCCTATATATGTCAAGTAATGCCTGTTTGTCTGCCCCACAATCACATCCGGCCACCGCTTTCAATAAGTTTATGACTTTTTTACATTTTGTTTCTATGTATTCCACGTTTTTTCCATGTATATTTATTATCTAGCCATAGACCCAGATACTTAAATTCAGACACCATCTCTAATGGCTGCCCATACGTTTTAACTTTTCTACCTCAATTTTTCTCTTATTTGTGAACACCATATAACAGGACTTATTTACTGACATCTTAAATGGATGTTACACTAGTAAGTTCCCACAGTGAAATACATGAGGTTTTCATGTGTTCCACTTCCAATGGTTGGCAATTATAATTTCTAATATCAGTGTCCGGGCTGTAACAAGTAGTCTCAATGTCATTGGTGGCTCATAAAAAGGCAGCAATAACTACATGGGTGTCCTTTTTTTTTTGGTGTTAAAAGGTCCCATATAATGCTTATTCATAGGTTCATACTTGTATTTGGGGTTTCTACTAGAACCTGTTTTCACGCTTTAATTAAATAACATATATTATATTCCTCAAACTGTCAACCTGAATGTACTCGTATTCAACCTCACCCAGTCTCCTACTTGTTTTTAAAACACAAGGCCACTTGACTGTGTGAGATCTTATATGCCTTTTTACTTGAGACACATCAAAGTTTCTTTTCCTGCAGGTATTGGAGAGTTATGACTTCTCACCTGTGTGGATTCTCATGTGGGTCATCAGCAGGGGCAAAAATCCCATTTCATAAGGCCCGTTTCCACTGAAGAAGTTCCTGGTACTATTTGGGGGGCAGGAACTACTACAGGAACATCTTCTCGCTCGGCCCTCTCAACCGCCTTGTCTCCACTGAGTGAGCTTAGTAGGAGAAAGGTTCCTGTAAAGTTACCGGGCTCTGTATGTGACGTAATCGTTGCGTGACCATTTTGACCAGGGCGATGTAGGGACGCCGTTAGCCGTTAGCCGTTAGCCGTTAGCAGTGTCTGTAATAACTCCGGTCATGGTCCGTGAAAAAAATATTTTTTCCAGCGGATGTTTTAGTTACAATATGATTGAGCTAACTGGAGTAGTTTCATGTTGTATCTGACAACGGGATGCTTTTAGCAGATGACGTCCTGATGTTAGCTTTGCTGCTGCTGTTGGCTGTCCCTGTCAGCTGATGCTTTCTAGGCATCGTGATTTCCCAAAACTGAATAAATACCACACATAGCAACACAAAACTGCTTTGCTAGCTCAATCATGTTGTAACTAAGATATCCGCTGGAAAAAAAAAAATTTCACGGACCGTTTATTGACTTATTACAGACTCCACTAACAGCTAACGGTTAGCCAAGCTAATCTACGATAACCATGTTGTTATTTACAAAACGCCACATCCTGCCTTGAGTATATCCAATCAGCAGCATAGTCGCACGTAATGACCGCTCCTCGTCAGTTAAACTGCACATCTTTCATGTTTGTCTCACTGACAGGTGGAGAGCCTACAAACAGGTACCCATTAGCTACGAGCCGCTCCACCACTGACTGCTCTTGTCCTGTCCTCTCCCTCTTCTTTCTCTCCTGTCCTCTCTGAGCTTAATCATTAGCTTTTAGCTTAGCAGCACTTGTAATTGAGTAGGCTTTTGAACAATGCAGACAGTTTATATTATCAGCCTGGACCTGGGGCTTGTTGTCACAGTAAATGGATGTGTTGTAACTTGTGTAAGTTAAACTGTGTCTGTGTGAGTGAACATCTTACCCTGCGATGCGGGCAGCGGGTCCAGCCACACGCTGCTACTGCTGTCAAGTAGCCCCGCTTGTTGAAAAGAGTGTGGGATATACCACTACTAGAAATGGGAGGGGGGGACTAAATCTTTTAAGATTTAAATAGCACATTATTGCGCGATTATAATGAGCACCGCTTACATTGTGCTTTCAATAAATACTACTGCATTGTTTAAAAATTATTAATTGTGTTTCAAATTATTCTAGGGGGAGGGGCAGCTTTACTGAAGGGGGAGTCATATCCCCCCTGTCCCCCCCGGGATTTCCGCCCCTGGTCGTCAGGCTACTTTTACATGATAAAGTATTCTCACATGTTGTGCAAGTAAATGGCTTCTCACCTGTGTGGATTGTGTGTGATGTTTGAAATGTTACTCTGATCGTCAGTGGGACAAAAAAAATCCCGTGCTAACAAAGTTATCTTTTTTTTTTAACTTTACTAAAATCATTAAAGGGTTCATTTTCTGAAATCAGCTGCTGTAGTGTACCTCCTCTAAATGTGATCCGGCCAAACTGAGCTCTGGTCAACCTGCATTCTGATTGCGGTGGCTTCTGCGTGCAGAAGCATTGCATTTTTCCTCATTCAGTCTACAGGCACAGATCACAGATTTAACAGGCACAAGGTAAAAACAGTTTTTCCCACATTCTGGTGTCACTGTTGACAAGTTGCTCATATGCACCAAAGAACACGGTGTCTGCAGATATAACCAAGGTAAATTTCAGACTTTTTAAGACATTTTTAATCCCACCGTATATGGAATTTAAAACCATCTCATGGCTGTCATACATGCAATTTATTATTGCAATATTCGGAGAAATACAGCAAGGAAAAAAAAATATTTTTCTTCGGTCTGTA